TTAGATGCATTTATTGCGATAATGAATCTATGTCACTTTTTAGAAAAGAAAAAAGTTAATCCAACAATTTTATAGTCTAGATTGATAAAGCATGTTACGACGCAGAGCTTGGTTCATAGAAATAAACCAAACAATATAATTTATAAAAGTAAATTTTTAAACAATATTACAATAGCTTATTAACAGAGTGTAATATGTGTGTGTGTGTGTGTGTGTATTTGTGTTAAATATGTATGGTTAATTATTAATTATTGACATGATCTATACTGTTACATTATTCTCTGTTTTCATGTTATGACATTAAAAAAAAATGCACGCTGTTCATATACTGTAGAATGTGAGAAACTATTGTTAAAAACTGTGTAACATTATTTGTATCATATTCTTGCAAATAAACAATTATTGTTATTATGAGTTGTAATCAATGTCTCAAGAAAAGATTAAAGAACCAAAAAGAAACTTATTAAACGCACAATTAAATTTGTCACATAATTATGTAGAATTAAAAATATCAAAATAAATGTTAAAATGTTAATATTATTAGTAATTATAATAATTATTATTTTAGTCAGTATATTCTCCTAAATATACCAAATCATTTATAAAAAATTGCACACTGATTACACACCACCCTGTGAAAATGAAGAAAGAGAAACTATAATCTATCGCGAGTGAGTTCACGCACACATAAGTTGTGAGTAACTAAAGGTTTCATACATTATCATTAATGGGGTTGTTCCACTTTTCACGAGAAGCTTAAAAAAGGGAAGGGAGATTTCCAATAAATTTCATACAGAACATCACATGAAAAGGAAATAATGAGATATCACGTGTATATATTTTTGTTTAGTACCATAAGCCAGTAGTAAGAGCATGGTGCCAAGACGTTTACTTATTCTGCATCTGTCTCTTAGAATAACACCAACGCATGAGGAATTTGTCAAATTGCCTTGTATCCTGCATTGACATGCCGTAGGAACTAAAAAAAATGTTGAAGGGTTAAGTCTTAAATTCTTGACGTATCGTTAAATTAAAAGGGTTAAGTCTTAAATTTTTGAGGGGATGTAATAAAAAGTTGTACAATACCACGCGACTATGAATTGTGTATTTTGATCGACAATAACTTAAGATATACTCCAAATTCTTCCAAACAGCACGTCGTACTGTTAAAATGTTTTTTTTTTGTTTATCGTAAACTTTATCAATCAAACAATCCATAATATTGCGAATGCCGATTTCCGTAACATCTGCACGTTAAAACACTATGTTTCTAAATGATGTGTATCTGCTCTCCAAGAATTTCAACCCAAATATTTACTATGATTTGTAAAATGCATACATAATACACTATGATCTAAATCACTCAAAATTAGGAATTACTTTCATTAGACCATAACTTCAATTAAATCTTCATTTGTTTTGGACTCGTATATCTCCTACGCGATACATAGACAAAAGCCGATTGATTTTTTTATCGGACACTGATTATGTATAAGCTTTGATAAAGTACAGTATCATAAATCTAAAGAGATAAATCAAATATTCATAATAATACTACGAATTTCTCACAGAATTTATCTGGACGTATCTTATTCTCCCAGAATTATCACTAGTTTGGGATATTATGATTGGTGATTACACAGATCATTGTTTGATCTTAGACTTTCAATAACGTTCTAAAAATGAAGCTTGATGATGAAGACTTTCTAATAAACAATAACAAATACGTTCTCAAATATGGCACATACTTCTTTTGACGCCTGACTGATTGCTCTTTCCCTGAGTAAAGCTACTGATTCCAAACTGAAATATCATCATTATTAAGTGTATTTTATGCATTTATTAAGCTTAATGTAATAGCGAATACAATAGATCTTTGATGGATTGAGACACAGAAAGGCCTTTATATGGTATGCTTATTATCAGATAATAATAATTATTTATTACCACAAATAATTACAATTAATTTAGCTTCGTCTTTAACTATGAAATCTACGTTAATACCAATGGCTTAATCTGTTTAATCACCGTTTTACTTATCAACAGGGTTATTGTCGTTGTCCCTGTACACGCGCTCAGCTACCGGAGGTGGTTATGGACATATGTATATCTAAATAGTTTATATCGTACTCTCTAAATTGACACTAAACATCGAAAAACGCCACAATGTTGCAACTAGACGTGGAGAAGGTTTATTTTTAATACAGTGCTCATTGTGATTTGTGTTTTTGTTGACAATGTTTTTTAATTACTTTTTATTTTCGGACCCTTTCGGTTCCATACCCAAAGGGTAAAACGGGAACCCTATTATTAAGACTTCGTTGCCCGTCTGTCTGTCACCAGACACCGTGGTGTGAGCCGTGAAAGGTCGACAGTTGAAATTTTCACAGATGATGATGCTTTCTGTTGGCGATTCAACAAGAAATACTAAAAACCAAAATAAAATAAATATTTAAGTGGGCTCCCATACAACAAACGTGTGTTTTGTTCGCTTCCGGGACCATACGCACGCGAGTGCGACTCGCACTTGGTATTTTTTTTTTATGACATCATTGTGACGTTAAATTATAAAAATATAATGAAAAATAAACAATAGTTCTTATGATATAGCTGACAATAGATAATAGAGTAAAAAGGGCAGCATCGATAAATATTATTAATTATCCAATAACTTTAACATTGTACACAAACACGCAACAATCAGATGTGTCAAACTTCAGTAATATAATTACAACTTTCTAAGCAATTAACTATATTAGGAGTGATTTCCTTATTTATATAGAATATAGACGAAGAATAACTATTACTTAAACGAGTAGCCTAATTAATGATTAATATTGTCTAAATTACGTCATTTAAAATTCACAATCTAAATCCGTACAATCTAGATTCATCTAGCGAGAGATTATATACAAGACGTGTATAAAAAAAATAAATGTACTATGAAGTAATGATTCATTATATCCGATATGTCAGGCAGTAATATCGCTATGCCACGTAACATTGGTAGACATAGCGTGCTGCATTACATTTTTAATACATAGAGTAAAAAAAAAAATTTAGAAACTCCAAGGAAACCGATAAACTACTATTTGTCAATTTTAAATCACTGAATAATTTCACTTTTGTGCTTAATATTAATAATGAAGAAGAAGTAAAACGAAAATAGACATTTTATAAAACTTGTACATTAGATTTGCTTGTACTCGTTCACACTTTAATAGAACACTACATTTCACGTCACTAATAGAATCACATAGACACAACATTATCACGCACGTGTAGTAGAGGATATCGACCTTAAAGTTTAGAGCATTAAAATAGAAAAGACATGTTTCAATCACATTTTACTGAAACGATACGTTGAGCACAAAAGCATTGCAAGATTACATAGATATATAGTACTATATACTTACTTTAATAGTCATAAAATTTCAAGACGACAAATTGACAGCATTTTCAGTAACTCTACTCGTATATGATATAATTAATTAATATAATTGAGAAAAAGCCTTGTATATCTTAAGGCTGATCGTAATATATAAGATAAAAAAGAAATTATCCCTTAATTAGAAGTTCTCATCGGAATATTGAATATAAGTAAATTTAAAAGAAATATAACAAATCAATTTACCTGACAAAAAATTATCGAATTAGGAATTTCAGAATTTTCATACTATAAGAACTTGCGGGTTTTATGAACAATTATTGCACAAGGCCTGTCGGAAACAACATTGGTCCTGTTTTTTTATTGATAGTAAAAAGACGATATAGTTTATCGTAATAGAGTGTACTGAATCTAGAACTATTTAGTCTTATAAAAATTAAAACTAACTCTACAAACTTGAATATCCCGTATCACAATCTTGACGATTTTTTTTTTATTATTTTACCTTCGTTATGTTAAAATATCTAAGGGATCAGACAAAAACTTATTTTATAAAACATCAACCTTACCAGATCGTAATACACGCATACACATTCGCTATTCTTGGGAAGAACGCCAGGTTAGTTGACTTCTAAATTGTCCAAGTGACCGATTAATTATTTTATCAATTATCATTTATAACGTGAACAAAACACAATCGTTACATCGCCTTTTCAACAAACTATGTGTGGAAAAATGTAAATATTAAAGTTTTTATCCATAACATCATCATTTTCCTGATTTCAAACAAATTACGTAACATTTTTTTTTTCAATATTCACTTTTTTCCACACCTTGGACCCCAGAATTATCAAAGTGAAATTCAACAACATTTAAAAACTAAATTAGTCAAAAATAGGTTATCTCTGTTCTAGGTCTTATTGCATTCGAAAACAATCTTACACTAAGGATAAATAAAATCCTTTTAAAGGATAACAAGCGATATTAACAAATTTGTCTTTTAATAGAGGTAACATCGTCTAATATTTTGCAACTTAACAGTTTTGTGCTAAAGTTCGTTGTGCTCACTAATGCACATTTTTTCTTGAGCCCCGAGACTCATCAAGCTCCATTTATTATATAATAACATTTAACATAATTATTTTGTTGAGTGAACTAGAAAGTCTTTTTCTAATAGTTCGTTATAATTTTCTTTAGTACATTGATTTTTTTCTTTATAAGGAACTACCAATAGCGTTTTTTAAAGCAGCCATAAATTTTATCATTCATAAAACCATATTGGATGTACACCGAACACACTAGCATATACTTATAAAATCGATTTCTGGTTTGATAAGATTAAAACTGTTTAATTCTCTTTTTTATGATTCCATTCACATGATTGATTCCGCTATTGGTTAACTTCAATGTGATATTTAGATGAAGTCATTTGTTTAAAGTTTTTCTATACACATCGTTTTTACTGATTTTTTTATGAAATGTGACGGTAGCGATTACGCCTTTATGAAATGTTGAACAAAACGACAATAATCACAGGAGCAACGCTCAAAACATTCAATAAATCTATCAATTTCTCGTAACTTATTTTATATTCTGAATTTAATTTTCTTTGCTGCTAAGCTATGTTATTTTTAACAAAATTATTATTATTTTATTTGATGGTTTGCCAGATGCAGTAGGTCATTTTCGTAAACTATTATTTTCATTTGAAAAGAGGATCAAACTTGAGCACAATAAAACTGGAAGACTCGCTCGAGAACCACATCGTAATTAACAACTCAAACTTAGCGAAAATCCTTTTCACCACCGTCGACACTTGAAAAGAATTAAGTAGTGTGATCTTATTCGAGTATGGAACATAATGCAACTATATACCTCATCTACAGTCGACTGCTATAGTTAATAGTTCCTGAAGATGATAGCAAGATTATCGTTCCGTGATGATTAGTTCACAGCCGTCTTGACAAACCTAAAAATCTTGATAGAACTAGTAGATGAAGGCTGGATGAAGGGGTGGAGGTGGTATACGGGGCTGTTTATCGAGAGGCGCACAGCATGCTGGCTCGCAACAAGGAGTGGTGTACGGTGCCGGTACGAGAGCATACTGCGCTGGTGGACCATAAATTGCTGGAGTAGCTGAAAACAATAAATACAGTAACAAAATACAAAAATAAATACATTGAAAACTTATCCAATTTTCTTTTGGAAAATATTTAGTTTGGATAATAGTAAGATATAGCAAGTAACGATTGATGAGATCATGCTTTGTAGTCTTTATAATAAGTAATAATTAATTTGATCAATGCCTTTCCTTTTAATTATTTATGAGGATATAAAATCGAAAATGTAAAGTATTCAGCGTAAAATTTTCCGCAATAAATCAACTAAGTTAAGGAAAACAAACTAGTAAACACCGTAATACTAAAACAGGAATTAGGGGCGAACGTAAATTCTTATGTCGATCATAAACTTCTTACGGAAGCATAAATTATACGACCAACTCTTAGGTGGTTGATAGTTTAACAAAGTATATTATTTCTAATACAAATTCCTACTAAATCTCGGCTGCACTATAATTGGAATGAAATTTGAGAATATCATTCGCGCTGACTTTAACATTGACTGTGAATAGCATTGAACCAACCCCTTTCTTGGCATTGTTAAACAATAACTTTAACCAGCGAAACTCAGATATTTCATTACTATCATGATAACTCATTATTATTTGCGTAACCGATATTTTCACTGCAATTAGCAAGCGAAGCTGTGTTTTAACAAACACATTCAAATCTCAAAAGCAGATATAAAATATGATTTAAAAAGAATTTATCTTAAAAATAGCATTACATATTCAAACATCACATTAATAAATAGAAAGAGTAATTGTTGCCTTTCTTCAATTTTTACTTTTTTCTTGGGGTATTTGGAGCTGGCGAATTTTTTGTTTGAAAGCATTTGAAGCATTTGTAAAAAATAACAAGTAAAGTGAATAAATCCAAATTCAAATTCCGTGTGTGATAACTATTATTTATACATTTGCAATTGATTGAAGGTAGTCTTCATATAGCTATTATTGATACTACATTAGTTAGTTACTTATAAAAGACTTACTCTCAAAAGGCAGCGGGTATACTGCGTATGGTGGCGGTGCAATTTCACATGGTGCACAAGCAGGCAACGGAGCGAGAGGAGGCGCACATAGAAGCTGGTAGCAAAGTGGCGCCTGGAGAGGAGTAGCTTCGGTGCTTAACACGGGCAGTTGACTCATCTGAAGGTAAGAAAAATTACCAACAAAATAACTTGAAATAATATTTTACATTGACATATTGGCTTATATCAAAACCGTTTAAGTTTTGAATGATTTTAAACTGAACCTCTGTTTGCCAATAATTTTATTTACACATAGTAATAGCTTAGGAGATCTATTTGATAGCTTCATGTTTACAGGTGAATGTTTTATTTCTTGCAATTCTACCGTTTCGGAGAACGCAAAAAAAAATAATAAAGAAACTAATCAATATCTCTTAATAAAACATAACGATATTAGAGTTGGACATGAATCTGAAATTGAGATGAATCTGAACTATTATGAAACTGTGATGGTTTCTATAAAGAAACTAATCAATATCTCTTAACAAAACATAACGGTATTAGAGTTGGACACGAATCTGAAATTGAGATGAATCTGAACTATTATGAAACTGTGATGGTTTCTAAGACATTTTCTCATAAATAAGAAAACTAAATTATTAACACTATCAGAATCGTACTCCATATACCAAATATTTGAATGACCAGCTCAGCAGCAGACCACGCAACAGCAGGGTTCATTGTCATATTGCAGCGGAATGACCCAGAATATCTTTTTTATCAAGCTATAATAACTATAAAGCTATAATATATCCCCCTTGAGACTCCCACAAAATTGCATCGGATTTACCCTCATTCTTCTTTTAAAGATTTTTAATACATTTTAGTGGCAACGTCGAGTAAACTAATTGGTTTTATAGTTGGTGCAGGCCATATGTTAGTCTTTCTTTGTACAAAAAAAAAAAAAAATTTTTACGTTGCATACATTATAAATGTTACCATAAAAGATTGTCTTATCAAATATTATTGAAACAATATAAATTACTTCCTCTTAAATTTAGAAGACTGCAGCTGCAAGGTTTGTTGCTGTATGACTTCTGTCACAATAAATATGACTGTATCGAAATAATTAATAATATAAGCTACAAAGTTCCCTTTAGACCGCGTGTACGAACCTGTCGAGCTAGTATACTATTCTCTACACCTAGATCACGTACAAACGCCGGCAAACGTACACCAATATCGCGGCTAGCCGACATACATAATAATTATTTTAACGATACAGACATATTTGCAACCAGTGTTGGCTCGTTTAAAACATTAATTACAAACAAATTGAACGAGATCAGCATTGGGCATCTGACTTAAGTATGAGTACATAACTTTTCTTTTCTATTATATTCTATTATACTATTTGTTTAACTCTCAACTTCTGAAATCTACCCGTGGTTGACGGTGTTGGTTTCACAATTAATTATACTTAAATACAAATTATATACTTAGCTATTAAGATTCATTGTGAAACTGTTTGTTAACCCAAATTAAAAAAAACAAAAAAAAAAGAGTACAATGACTGCTTAACTCCTGTCCATCGACATCCTTTTGGCTTTCCAGCAAAGATTACATAAGACTTAAAACATCTAGTATTTAAACACCACTTAATCATTTCCACCAAAAGCTTATCAAATAATCGTCGGACGCAAGTCCCATCTCGAACTCTCTCACTGTATCGATGTTTTGTAAATAATTTCAAAATATTAACTCAAACATTCTACACAATTGTACACGATTTGTGTTAGGGCGTTGTTAAGGATCTGCAAGAATCTCCCCAGCTTTAACCTCATCTTCTATATTTTTACACTGACCCGCAACATCGAGATTTCTTTACCTCTCTCCGAAAGCGTTTGGTATTCGAATCGCGAGCTCCAAGTCATTTTCTTTTTATTTTCACAAGTTATTCTTTTATATTTCTTTTACACTGAAGCATACTTATAGTGGCTATACATTTCTACTATAAATCTGATGAAAAAGAGACATAATCATCACCTACTGTTTTATACCTATTTGCGCATTTATTGATTATACATACATAAAACGTACTCCTTTTTTGAAAGTTTACGTTCACGCATCTACCGTCCTAGACGGAAAGGCTTACGTTTTTAATCCTCTTACTGACTACAGTTATAACAATATCATTAGTTTTATACTCTCTTCCTTTTTCCTTCTTCTTACTTAAGATACGGGATATGTCTCTGTCTCTTGAAAAATCCCTTATTCTCATTTACTTTTGCTATTCAGCAGATATTGGTCTGTTTCAAAAGTATGAGCTCTGTAGGCTTTGTATCCATTTGAGTGTTTTGGAGTCGATATTTATAAGAATCAAATTCATCACGCTTTTTTGAACATTGCTTCCATTCCATCCAACGTAATTAGTAGTTTAGAACTGCAATCTTATTGAATTGGCAAGAGTCATGATGGGCACGTTTCTTGAAAATTACCAAACTCCATTTCGCTTATTTGAATTAAAAATACCAGTTCATATTTTAGTTTCATGCAATTCATACGGCATACGATATGCTGTATATTATTCTTCTGAAAATGCTAATACCCTAGCCAATGTTTTCAAGTCGCTGGAAGGTTTGGGTATGCTGGAAATAATAATAACGGCGAATTGGGTTGAATTGAATGTTAACTACAAATATTTCACGTATCTACACTTTGCCAACGACATTGTTATAATGGCGGAATTGATGCAAAAGAAGCTACATAGTTTTGATGGTGCGTCCACCTCGCGCAACTAAGTACCGTTGTTAAGTAAAAAAAATCTTCAAGCGCAAATTACTAGATGAGAACCATTTGATTAGATGCATCATATCTTTTCTTTCACACTGTCACAATGCCTGAATACCAGTGGCTTTACAACGTAACTAAAGCCCTGATTGATCTGTCAGCACTAACCCTTGACCAATCCTCATTAGTATGCGGAAACCTTATTTATCAATCTGACAGATAATTCAGGAGTTCATTTGATATTTGAAAGTTGAAACACGAGATACAAAGAATTATGCAGAAGAGATGCTAGTATTTAATTAGTTCGTCCTATCAAGTCATAACGTGTGACATGACAGTGAAGCAGTTTTTTTTTTCAGGAACGGACGAGAGCTTGCTTGGGTTTTATGTGGAGTCTACGTCACGGTTAATCGAGTGCCAGACGTCCTTCGGTAAGAAGGAACGGATGACCTCATAAAGGTGGCCGGCAGTGACAGATAAAAACACGATCTCTATATATTATATCTTCGTATACGGTTTTTAGCGCACCCTAGAGGAGGTATTCGTGCACCAGTGGACTGAAACAGGCTGACAAAATGAACATTTAATCATAATTCTTCATTACCATTCCACTTACCTTACCTTTTTGATAAGATTGGTAATTTGCTATTTCACAAACTACGTCATTTTTTCAGCGGGACAATTTCATTTTACGAAACCACGCTTATTCCTTACAAGTTGACTGATATCGTCGACTTAGTCACGAAAAAGCCAACGATATTAAACGTAAAATTAAAGCTCAGTGACACGTTGTTATAAAAAAAAAATAAACTATTGTAATAGAGAAATGTGCATAGACAAAGTTCAAAAGCACGTGATTTCTTTGTAATGTTCTTTGGTAAAAAATACATTTTCCAGGTGTAGTTTAACTATTATATTTCTCGGTGTTATTTTTTAAATAAGCTTCATTTTCTTTAAATCTGGGAATAGGGATACGACTGGTTGCACTGGACATTTGCGGCTTTTATTTTCAAATTTAATACGTTTCTAATAAAAAAAAAATACATTTTGCGAATTGCCGATTTTAGGATCCATATTTAACTATACAAAAACCGATTCAGTTCCCAGTTTTTTCAACGATTTGTATATGCTTTATCTCGAGACAATATTTTGCATGTTCAGTTACACGAAAGGTAACTTTAATAGATTTGAACTGTCAAGTTGTTAATTATTAATTTCTGATTTCAACTTTAAACTTAAAATTTTCAGGTAATATTTTATTGATTTAAGGTATTACTTGAGATCTGCAATGTATGTGATGTTTTCTAGTATTTATCTATTGTATTACTAAAATTCCTGGGGAAATCAGTTCGTCAATACCAAGTGCTATGAATAATATCCTTTTTGTTCATAGGTTTATACTTTTTTATAGATATTTACCTAAATATACTCTTTGTAGATTTTATGTTAGTTTTAAAGTTCCATATTTAAATGTAAGTAGTTAGTGTACCTGATCCTCACTTTAGCTTTCCTCAGATTTTTATATTGAGCTATTGATATTACTTAATAATTAATTTGTTAATTTTGTCTGTGTTGTTGCTTGTCTAATCATTAAACTAAGAAAGCTAAATATTGGAAAATCTAATTATCTGATATACTTTAGATGAGGCTTAACATCTGATCTTCCATCCAAGCTACTAAGAACACTTTAAAATACTTTGTGCAAAATCAAGGGATATAGCCGTATTAGACTTGAATGGGCTACGTTTAGGAACTTGTTCAAGATTTGAAATGTGCATCTGCTACTCATGGTGAATGGTACTGAAACCTGGACCCTCAGTAACAGAAGACGGACAGATAATATTACGCGACTGTGCGGAAAAAACTTTATGCATAAAGCTTAAACAGACAGAAATGGTGTGTGTATGTGAAGGCCTATACTCAAATAGATTATAAAAGGCTGATAAAGAAGAGAAAAGAATTATTGTAGATGCAGCAATAACTAATAGCTTAAAATTACTTTCGAAACATGGAGGAAAAATATTTAATTAATCATCTGATTACAAAACTTGCTTAATCAAAGATATTTTCCTTTACTTCATCAAGCTATTTATTAAGGTTTTTAGTTTTGAATATAGTAATATGTTATTGCCCATTCACTTTATGAAACATCGATCGCTGTTCTAATCTGTTAAACTACTTCGGAGTGTTGTGTCGTGTTTTACGATGCATTATTGATAGACTTATCTGCCGAGACGAAAATAGCTACTGTACAATTAGCCGAGCGATGGCTATTGTTAGATATTGGAAGAGTTATTTGATGCTTTGCTTGCTATATTGTGGTCGAGATTGAGAGTATATGTAATACGAATTATTTCCAATCTACAAAAAATTTTAGTGGCAACATTGTCGTGTATTTCTTTATAGAAAAAATAAAGAATCACAGCGATTGTATTTCCTAATAATCTTTTAATGAAGTAATATGTATAGGTTAACACAAAAAAAAATTTTTACTCGTAAGTCGTAGTTAGTAAAGTACATAATTGTTTGCAAACTGCGCTTAAAATAACTATTGTTTAAATAGATTTTTTTATACAGAAAAATCATCAAAATAAACTTTAATTGAAATTGATTATTTTTGGGTGAGAAATTTAATATTTTTGTAACACAAAAAATAATTTTTATACAATTAAATAAAACAACATAAATGTGACACAAATCAATTAAGTTCACAAGATCCTGAAACGTGCTAATAAATAAAAAGTACTCTAAAATTCACCATTTCTTTATTTTCTTCTCTTAATAGAGATGACTGATGACTACTACTAGGTAAAAAAAGAAATTCTATTTAGTCCGTCAGGCAAATCATTTGTTTCAATTTAAACAAGAAATGGCTTAGATAATAGGCATTAAAGTTGAGGAGCGGGGTTTGCTACGTTACAGTTTTGTAGAAAATGTACAAAAGCGTGACGTCATGCGACATTTCAATTCTTTTTTTTATTGATTAGGCAAAAAAATACGTATTTAATATTCTTCATTAATCTACCCGACAGATAAACAAAATAAAAACCTGTTGTCATCTCTATTACACTCGTTAGTTTAGAGATAATTAAAAATATAGAGTCACTTTGTAAACGACATTACTGAGAATCCTCTTTTCAGAGGAGAACTTTTGAGAGGGGACACGAGCGATCGGTGGTCAAGGTCACAAGAGGGAGGGCTCCCCATGAGGCCCAGAAGTGGGGGTTGAATCTGGCGGGTTCCTTACTGGATTCCGGATTCTTCTCCCCATACCCCATACACATGGTTTAAATAAAAAAAATGGTTACTGAGAACTTTTACAATAATCTTAATGACTTCTTCATCCTATTAATTTCCTTACTGCTGGGGCTTTATGGGTGGAATGGAATGGAAGGAATCATAATGGTTTACCAATAATTAAATTTAAAATAGTATTTGACGTGGAATACGTTATCTTCTGCCCCCGTCTGTCTATCATTGACGAGCGTCTTGTTTTGTTTTGGTTCTCTCCTTGTTACAATATATTACAATAAAGAATAAGATTAAATGTCGCATAATGTCACACCTTTTTAGATTTTCCACATAGTTGTGACGTACCTAGCGAGCCTCCACTCCTCAACATTAATGTCTATCTAAGTAATTTCTTGTTAAATTGAAGTAAAAAAAAAATTGTATGTAATGTTTTTCTTTTATCTCACTGACAAACTATGTATAATTTCTTTGTTGTTTCTTAACTTAAAACTCACTTGTTTTCTTACTGCTTGTGCTACCCTTAAGCGGCCGAGAGGAGAAAACATTACTCCGCCACTCTGAAAATAAAAAGTACACTACTATAAGTAAGGTCTTATATTTGATAATTTCTGGGTATTATAAATTGATATTATAATAAAAATTGAATGGGCATATTCTCTTCATTCATCTCTTCAAGCATTCATATTTATGACACCTAATAAAAAGGTTTCTTGACATTTATTTTCATTAGTAGAATTAAACTAATTTAAAACTATTTTTTGTATATTCTACCAATATAATAATGTCGATTCACATCGTCAATAAAAAGTACCATATTCACGTTTAATTTGAATTTTTAATCTGTAAAAAAATAACAATATTTGGAGAGTATCTCTGACGAAATAAGGCAAGTTATTTATATAAATAAAAACAAGGAAGGACCAAGGTATACCCTGGTATACCCTGTGGAACAAACTATGGTACCCTGTGGAACTGTGGTCTTAACTATCGACTTAAGGAATCTCTTGTCTCTGATGTCAATATGTTATTCAAATATACGAAATCCAATAAATTACATCTGAAACCATAATAGTGAAGTTTCCTAATTTATTTATTTATTTATAGGTACAAAGACTTGTCAGCCAACAGACTAAAATCCAAAATGCCAACAAGTTAAAATTATGAAAAAAAATTTTACATTGTTCATTCATTAAATATAAATAATAATAAAAAATAAAATAAAAAGAACCTATACCAAATACAAAGTGAGTCAGATAATCTATTATTGTGTCAAAATAATAAAAATGCATTTAATAAATTATTATTTCCAATGTTAATTAAAATTTACAAAAATCATTCATTTCATATAAAATAAAGAATATACGTATTTAATGAATTAAGAATTCCAATGTCAACATAAAATTTTACAACATTCATACATATAATTACAAAAAAACATTTAATAGTTTATGATTTTCAATGTCAATTTTATCATTAAGTCACTTTATTATAAATTATTTGTCCATGTCATCTAAAATAGCCCGAAAACTAGTCATGAGAACTGCCAAACTACATATGTGCGAATATGTCAATTTCATCGTACCGAGCGACTACATCACTTATGAGTGTTATCGCGCGGTTAGTTGGAGCATATAATGCACGTTTGATGCGCGTTACTGGTCGAACCAGAAGACGCTGATTTCGACGTGGAGCCACCATTCCGTCTTCATTATGCAACAAATATATGGGTACTTTAAGTCCCATTCTGCCTAATATTGACGGTGCGTCCAACTTATTGTGCAATACAAATAAGTAATGTCTCACCATTGCAATAATCCGCCTAAACTTAAGGGTCTCCAAACCTACCATACCCGAGACAAATATGGAAGGATATAGATATGGATAGTAACCATATAGTTTTTTATAAAGCCAACGAGCGAATTTCCGTTGTACCCTTTCCAGCAGTAAAACATATTTCTCTTCGTACGGATTCCATACAGCGGCAGCATATTCGAGCTTGCTACGTACATAAGCGTTGTATAATGTTATTGCAACCCTTACATCATCAAAATCAGCAGCAGTTCTAATGACGAAGCCTAAAGTCTTACTAGCTGATTTAGCAACTGAAGTTATGTGAATGTGAAAATCTAATTTTGCATCTAACATTACACCTAGGTCACGTATGCAATTTACTCTATCCAAATGGGCGTCAAATAAATTATAATTTGCATTTATTGTATTACGTTTTAGTGAAAATGTCATTATTTTACATTTGCTCTCGTTAAAAGGAAGACGATTAATCATACTCCAGTTTGACACAGCATCTATATCCTTTTGCAAGGCCCAACATCAATGTCATTATCAACTCCTAAGCTTATTTTAATATAATCAGCAAATAGAAGGCATTCCGCCGACTTGATATTATCAGGCAAATCATTTATAAAGATCAAGAATAGAGTTGGCCCAAGAGTGCTACCTTGACTTACTCCTGACCTTGTGTAGTATTTGCTTGACTCGAAACCATTCAACCTTACAAACTGCTGTCTGTTACGTAAATATCTGGAGAAAAACTGGAGAAGTCTTGGCGCGAAACCAAATGTCACCAACTTTTGCAATAATATATCATTATCGACTAAATCAAAGGCCTTCTTAAAATCGAAATAGGCGGCATCAACCTGCCGCCCAGCATTCATTTCTGCACAGACATAATCCACGTGCGCTATTAAATTGGTATTGGTTGATCGACCCTTTCGAAACCCGTGCTGACTGTTATGCAGTTTGTTGCTAATTTGTCGACTGATGTGTGTATTAAGAATTGTTTCAAACAGTTTCGCTATCACTGAGAGTACTGCAATTGGTCTAAAAGTAGAAACATCCCTTCCCGGATCTGATTTTGGAATGGGTGTCACCCTAGATAATTTCCAACACTCAGGATATTCGGCTTGAATAAGACACATATTAAAAAGAACCAACAATGGTAATTCAAGGGCGGCTATACAGTCCTTAATTAAAAACGCCGGGATACCATCCGGACCACTTGCTGTTCTAGGTTTAAGATGCCTAACTGCTGACTTTAAGTCTGCTTCATCAACAGCCGCTATGGAAATGAGAGAAGAATCTACACACATACGAGCTGATTGGGCAGTCTCAGCATTCAATTCAGGCTCATTATTATGAAATACTGAACCGAAATACTCAGCAAATGCATCTACTGCTTCTTGGCCGGACACGTCCCTATCGCAATAACCATATACATCCATCTGCCTCCTTTGCTTTCTTTTATCTTTAACATATTTCCAAAATTTTATCGGATTGTCAATAATATTTTTTCGCGTTAGTTTGATGTATTGTCTATAAGCACTGTCCAATAATATTTTCACCCTCCATCTGTAATACCGAAACATTTCCCCATTGAACTGCTTACCTTCTAACTTGAATCTCTTTAAATGGAAGAACTTATTTTTGATATTTTGTATGATGTCAGCTGTGTACCATTTTGGATAAATATATCTCTTTCCATGTATAACCCGCTGTTTACTGGGCACAAATAAACTAATAAGATTATTTAGCTTATTATAGAAAATCTTTACAGCTGAATCAACACTTGAAGTGTTCATCAAATCGGTCCAGTCCAATTCTGTTAACGGTGCATACAGTTCTTGAAAGTCCGCCCTTATGCCAATTCCATTTAGGGTTGGTCTCCAAACGCTGATTGGAGGACTCCGTAGGATAGTTTGATTAACACTTCAAGTGACGGATGGTAATAATCCTCAGTTACTAGGGGATCCAATGCTGTTGAAACCACCACCTGATTAAGCTCATAGTCGCCCAGCACCAAGATCTAACATACCACCGTAAAAATTGACTACTTTATTATATTGCCTTAAATTACAAAACTCGCAAAAATTACTAAATTGTGTTTTGACATTGACACTACATGAGTTTAGATTAAAATCCCCTAGGGGTTGTTTACCTTTTCGCACAGTAACATTTTCAAAGTCTAGAATGGAATCGTTTTTTGCGTCATAAATGCTATCATTAGCACAACTTGTACTCATTAGTTGCCGGATCGGTGTACTCAGATTATTAGACTTTGGTACGTTGCTTCGACAGTACATACATATCCATGAACGCACCACATCGCTGCCAAGAGGACCCATACTTCTCCGTGGTTATGCCGGCACAAAGAAGTTCGTAGATAGACTGACATTTTCTACAATTCAGGTATAAGTCCTCCTTTCCAATATTCTGCTTACATCCCGCACAGATAGCCATATTTAAAATCTGCTTTCTATCAGTCAAAAAATTAATCCCCAAAATTCGTGCAAATTTTCTGTGGTTGACAACACTGCGCCTATGACAACTATCAATAGGTGAAGAATTTATATGCGGGTATTCGGAAAAATTACAAAAAGCAAGCAGAAATTTTCAACTTATATTTTCAGACTAAGATATGAATCAGCCAATATACAACGATACTACAAACTTCACGCCGTCTAAACTATACTATGCATACAGAAACACAACACTTTCTTCGTGATTTTACTTTGTTGTAATACAAGGTGAGGTCGCACACAAAGACCACAGACCAATCCATCCAATGAATGTTTCATGATAAAGATAATAATCAAAAGCCTTAGATAGGTCACAGAATTTTAGAAATCAAAAAATAGTTTTAATAATTCAACAAAAAATATATACACTAAATATTTTTTTAAAGTTAAGATTATAGATTTTGTCTAAATAGCGATTTGGGGACATCAAAGTTAGTTACTTTATAAAGAATCCCGCTTCTATTTCCAATAACATTTTACGTTTATGTTCCTCTTTCTCATAGTAATTATTGTATTTAACCGCACCTCGCATTAAAAACGACAAAGAAGCCAATTTTCATGCTGAGTATGTGATTTGGAACGATGCTCGAAAACCTTGACCGGATGGCTATGAAAAGGTTTCATTGAGAAATAAATGAAATCGCGAACGTGTTTAAAATTACTAACTTTCCTTTTTATTATAAATTGCAGGCATACCTAAAACGGTGAAAATATTTTGCCTTTGTTAAATGTGCATATTTTTGTGGGAGCTATTAATAACTCTCTTGAAATATTACGATGAATCATTATGGCATAAATAAAAAATCTTGGTAGTTTTGATCTTTAGCATTAAATGTATATTGATAATGCGCAAACAATCCGAAATCTAGATAGCCATTGGTGTTTATTGCCTACACGAGAACTAATAGTATTTATCACTTAAGTAAGGACCCCTTTATGTATAATGTGTTTATTTTTAACATAGTTTGGGGTAAAAGTACCTAAAAGGTAATTCATCATCATCATCATCAGCCCTTTTACGTCCCCACTGCAGGGGCTCAGGCCTTCCTTATGGATGGTTAAGGAGGATGGGCCATGACCCTCCACGCTGGCCCAATGCGGATTGGAGGGTATTAACGACTGCAAATGCAGCCGGGACCAACGGCTTAACGTGCCTTCCGAAGCACGGAGTAGCTCGAGATAATAATTTTTTTGGTCACCCATCCCGTGACCGACTCTTGCGAAAGTTGCTTAACGACTACGAT